AGCGTGTGCCTGTAATTCCAGCTACTTGGAAGGCTGAGGCGGAAGGATCGCCGGAGCCCAGCAGGTTGAGGCTGTGGTGGCCAGGAGTGGCCACGGCACTCCAGTCTGGGCGACAGAGTGAGACTCCAACTCAAAAAAAATGAGTTGGCATTTATTAGAGAATTAAACAAGGTCAGGCGTGGTGGCTCACGCCTGTAATCCCAGAACTTTGGGAGGCCGAAGTAAGAGGATTGCCTGAACCCACGGGTTTGAGACCAGCCTGGGCAACTTGGTGAGACTTCATCTCTACAATAAATCAAAAAATTAGCTGGGCATGGTGGCACAGGCCTGTTGTCTTAGTTACTTGAAAGGCTGAAGCGGAAGAAGGATCACCTGAGCCCTGTAGGTCGAGGCTGCAGTGGCCATGAGCGTGCCATTGCACTCCAGCCTGGGTGACGGAGTAAGACTCTGACTCAAAAAACATACAAAAATAAAAACTACCAACTGGGCACGGTGGCTCATGCCTATAATCCCTGCACTTTGGGAGACCGAGGTGAGAGGGTTGCCTGAGCCCAGGGGTTCGAGACCAGCCTGGACAACTTGGCGTGACCTCATAGACCTCATCTCTACGATAAAGATCAAAAAATTAGCCTGGTGTGGTGGTGCATGCCTGTAGTTCCAGTTACTTGGAAGATTGAGGCAGAAAGTTTACCTGAGCCTAGCAGGTCGAGGCTGCGGTGGCCGTGAACGTGCCATTGCCCTCCAACTTGGGCAACAGAATGAGACTCCAACTCAAAAAAATAAATAAATAAATAAATAACACTTTTTAGGGAAAATTAGATGCTTGATCCTGTTACTGGATGGTAGTGGCATTGAGGTGTTAGTGCCAGGGCTTTTGATGATGAGTAAAAAAGAGAGAAAGAGAGATTCAATCATGGGGTGATGTTTAACTTTATGACTTTATTTATTTAATTTTGTTTTTTTGTTTTTTGAGTTGTGAGTCTCACTCTGTCGCCCAGACTAGAGTGCAGTGGCTGCTCCCGGCCACTGCAGCCTTGACCTGCTGGCCTCCGGCGATCCTCTGCCCCAGCCTGCCGAGTAGCCGGAATTACAGGCACACGCTACCATGCCTGGCTGATTTTTTGATTTATTGTAGAGATGAGGTCTCGCCAAGTTGCCCAGGTGGGTCTTGAACCCGCGGCCTCAGACAGTCCACTCACCTCAGCCTCCCAAAGCGCAGGATTACAGGTTGAGCCTCCGAGCCCGGGTACTTTATGTCTTTATACTCATAGTTTTCAACAGGATAATCGCTGAGATATCTGCAGGAAATCGTGTTCTTTTTTTTTGAGTTGGAGTCTCTGTCGTCCACACTGGAGTGCAGTAGCATGCTCCCGGCCACCGCAGGCTTGACCTGCTGGGCTCCAGCAATCCTTCTGCCTCATCCTTCCAAGTAGCTGGAACTATAGGTGTGTGCTACCACGCCTGGCTAATTTTTTATTTATTGTAGAGATGAGGTCTCACCAAGTTTCCCAGGTGGGTCTCGAACTCGTGGGCTCAGGCAATCTTGGCCTCCCCAAACACTGGGATTACAGGCTGAACCACTAAGCCCAGTGGAAATCATGCTCTTATTGCTAATGTATAACTCATTTACTCTTCCTTTTTCCCATGGGGACACAATTGTGATTTTGCATTCAGTGAGTTGTTTTTAGGAGTGTCACCATCATGTTACATCATAAGTGCCTGTACCCTGGAGATTATGGGAAATGAAGGAACCATTTCTGGGTGTTTTACAAGGAAGATGGAAGAGCTGAGCAAAGCCCTGGCTGGGAGCTTTTCTGTGTCTCAAGATCTGAACAGCACAGCTGCCCCACACCCTCGCCTGGCGCAGTACAAGTCCAAGTACAGCTCTCTGGAGCAGAGTGAGCGGAGGCGCCAGTTGCTGGAGCTACAGAAATCGTAAGTATGCTAGAGCCCCGGGGTGTCTCTCTCCAGGCTGGAGGTGGCAGCCCCTGGGGGGCTCTAGGCATGTCTCTACTACCCTTCCCCCCACTTTAGATTCTTCAGAAGTTCATCTTCCTACCTAAAAGCTCGGGAGGGGTAAACCCTGGAGAGATGGGATCCTTTATATCCAGAGCTTAGGAAAAGGTGAGGAAGTGGGGAGAGACTGACACTGGAAAGCGCAGTTATTTGGTGGGCTTGTTCTTTCTTTCCTGGAAGTTCAGGACCTTGTGACGGCCACGCCCAGACTCCCACCTCCACATTCCTGTGTCTCTGCTTGTGACTTCTGCGCTCTGTCTTCTGTGGTCTTCCTACCCCCATTTAGCCCACATGTTGCTGTGAAGCCATGGGAAGTTAAACACAAATAAATCCACAGGGAATCTGAGGAAATGTCTTCCAGACACTCCATTCTAAATGCCAAGATGCACAAACCGGACACTCCATTTTAAAAGCCAAGATGCACAAATAAGGAGTGATCCGGGATGGAATGTCAGAGGCTGAGCTACTGTGGAGGCAGGGCTGTCCTTTGATTCTCACTGCAGCATCGGCCTCTTCTGGGTCCTAAATTAAGTAGATAGGGATTTGGAGAACCTGGGACTAGCCACACAGTATCCACGCAGTCTACATCTTGCCCAGACTGCATCCCCAGATATGTTGAACAGAGATGGTGGCCTGGCCTCTGGGCTGCTTGAAGATGACATTCCCAGACCAGGCCTCTCCCCCTCTTTAGTTAATGCTGATTAGTCATCTTGGAATAGATAATACACTCTTTTTTTTTGAGTTGGAGTCTCACTCTGTCGCCCAGACTGGAGTGTAGTGGCCGCTCCCAGCCACCACAGCCTCACCTGCTGGGCTCCGGCGATCCTTCTGCCTCAGCCTTCTGAGTAGCCAGAATTACAGGCATGCGCTACCACGCCCGGCTGATTTTTTGATTTATTGTAGAGATGAGGTCTCGCTACCCAGGTGGGTCTCGAACCCGTGGGCTCAGGCAATCCACTCACCTCAGCCTCCCAAAGGCACGGGATTACAGGCTGAGCCACCAAGCCCAACTTCTTTTTTTTTTTTTTTTTTTTGAGTGTGGTTGAGTTGGAGTTGGAGTCTTACTCTGCTACCCAGGCTGGGGTTGGAGTTGGCGTCTCACTCTGTTGTCCAGGTGGAGTCTCACTCTGTTGAGTTGGAGTCTCACTCTGTTGCCCAGGCTGGAGTACAGTGGCATGCTCATGGCCACCTCAGCCTTGATCTGTTGGGATCAGGCAATCCTTCTGCCTCAGTCTTTCTAGTAGCTGGAACCATAGGCACACGCCACCATACCTGGCTAATTTTTTTGATTTATTGTAGAGATGAGGTCTCGCCAAGTTGCCCAGGCTGGTCCCAAACCCGTGGGCTCTGGCAATCCTGTCATCTCAGCCTCCCAAAGTGCTGGGATTATAGGCATGAGCTACTGTGCCCAGCCCAATGTTACACTCTTATGGTTCAACATTTATTTTTTTATTCATTTATTTAGAGTTGGAATCTTACTCTGTTACTCAGGCTAGAATGCAGTGGCTTGATCATGGCTCACCACAGCTCTGACATCCTGGGCTTATAGGTGATCCTTCAGTCTCAGTTTCCCAATATCTGAGACTACAGGCATGCACTACCATACCCAACTATTTTTTTTTACCTTTTATAGTGAGGAGATCTCACTACATTGCCCAGGCTGATCTCGAACTCCTGGCCTTAAGCAGTCCTTCTGCCTTGGCTTCCCAAAGTGCAGGATTAGAGGCATAAGCCACTGTACCCAGCCTCCAATTTAAAAAAAATATAGAAGAATCTATGATGGGGCTGGGCATGGTCGCTGACACTTGTAGTAATCCCAGCACTTTGGGAGGCCAGGATGGGAGGATCACTGAGCCCAGGAATTCGAGACCAACCTGGGCAACATAGCAAGACCTATCTCTACAGAAAATTAAAGAAAAATTAGCCAAGCATGGTAGTGTACACCTGTAGTCCTAGCTACTTGGGAGACTGAGACAGAAAGATTGCTTGAGCCCAGGAATTACAGGCTGCAGTGAGCTATGATCACACCACTGTGCTCCAGCGCTTAACTCAAAAAAAAAAGCTATATGAGTATGGTGAAAAGCCTCCCTCCCAGTCCGTTTCTTGTGTATCCTTCCAAAGATGTTCCTTGCAGGTATGAGCAAATGTGTGTGGTTGTGTGTGTGTTCATAAACCTTTTTTTTTCTTTTTCTTTTTTTTTTTAATATAATTTTTTAATTTTAATTTTTTTTTTTTTTTGAGTTGGAGTCTTACTCTGTCCCCCAGACTGGAGTGCCGTGGCCACTCCCGGCCACCGCAGCCTCGACCCGCTGGGCTCCAGCGATCCTTCCACCTCAGCCTTCCAAGTAGCTGGAACTACAGGCGTGCGCTACCCCGCCCGGCTCATTTTTGATTTATTGTAGAGATGAGGTCTCACCAAGTCACCCAGGTGGGTCTCGAACCCGCAGGCTCAGGCCATCCACTCACCTCGGCCTCCCAAAGCGCAGAATGATAGACTGAGCCACCAACCCGGCTTGTTTTCTTGAGCATACGTTATTGTAAGGGTGCAGTGTACAATATATATAGCATACAAAATATGTGTTGGCTGTTAACATTATCGATAAGGCTTCCAGTCAACAGTGGGCTATTAGTAGTTAGGTTTTTTGGGAATCAAAAATTATGCACAGAGTTTTGACTTTGTAGGATCAGCACCCCTAACCTTTGCATTGTTCAAAGGTCAAGTGTATATTAATTATTTGTATATAAATCTAAGGAAGTGTCATTTATATGAAAGATCCTTATTAACTTCTTCCTGCAATATCATTTTTTTTTTTTTTAGTTGGAGTCTCACTCCATCGCCCAGGCTGGAGTGCAG